TGTATAATTGACAGAGCTGCCTGGATAATTACAGATCTAGCTGAACAATAACGTAAAACACCTCATAATTATGTAATACAGGCAGTGTCTCCAGGCGTCTGTAAAATGTAAATACGCCAGTTTTGCTTGCAACATAACGTAATGCCCAGTTATATCTTTGAGTCGCTAATTTCGTACTTGGGAGAGGCAGGAACAGGAACCATTTGAAATATTACCTAGGAACCAATATTACGTGTTTTATTACGCTATTCAGACGCACTGGGGGAACCACTACCATTACCTTGGAACCAATATTACGTGTTTTATTACGCTATTCAGACGCACTGGGGGAACCACTACCATTACCTTGGAACCAATATTACGTGTTTTATTACGCTATTCAGACGCACTGGGGGAACCCCTACCGTCTACCATTACCTTGGAACCAATATTACGTGTTTTATTACGCTATTCAGACGCACTGGGGAACCACTACCATTACCTTGGAACCAATATTACGTGTTTTATTACGCTATTCAGACGCACTTGGGAACCACTACCATTACCTTGGAACCAATATTACGTGTTTTATTACGCTATTCAGACGCACTGGGGGAACCACTTTTACGTTATTCAGTAGGAATTCTACTAAGGTGGGGCCATTTCTAGAAATCTAGAAAGATATCTACATATTATATTCTAATGATTAGTTGTTGCTTGGTTTCCCATATATTTCTGCATAAACGTGAAGGAGGAAAGAGAGCCGGGTTACCAGTGCTACGTCACAACTCACGTCACATCACGTGTCACAGATCACGTGTCACAGATCACGTTACGTTACAAACACTATTAATGAACTTGGAAGCTTATAAAAACACACTTTTTAGTAGCATAAAGTAGTTTTTGTCAGATATTTAACCTTTTATTGATGCATGTCTATTGAAATATACCAACAGTTGAAATATATTTATCTTGCAGTTGCAGTTCTTCCGACCTGATAACTATTGCTAGTTGTTATCCCAATACTGATAGTTGGATATATATCCGGTTGTAATCCCCAGTTGTTTCACAGAATCTCGCGGAGTAACCTCTCAACTCTCAACTCTTTATACAGTTTCCCAGCTACAACTAAAGAGCTCTTTATTACTTGAGAGCCAGTATTATCATTGTAAAGGGACCACCACATCTCGCTTATTCTTTATAACTCTGTCTTGAAGTGGTTGTTTCTCGAGCTCTGTTGAACCTGCGCACTTTTTCTCAAGAACAAATATGATGTTTGAAAATAAATCTGTACGCGCTAAATTTCACGCGCTTTTACAAAGTGCGTGAAAAGATAAACGACCATGATCACCTTTTTCAAAAAGCCCTAAAACGTTTAGCGGTTATCAAACTCCCCGCCTTCCACTTACATACCAGACAAGTGTCGGGCAGTTGGCAGCCTCTGCCTCCCCCTAACTAGCACACTGCGATAAAGCACTCGGACACCCGGTTTTCTGGGGAAGTGAAGCAATGGGGGTGTTTGATGAATTTAGCTGAATGTCCGCTTCTTCGGAACTCACCCACTTACCTTCACGGCTCCGTCACCCAATCTGCAGAATTCTACCTCTCAAATCTAATGTGAGACTTCATAAATCTAATGACACTCCAAAAGCTAAAGCTTGATAAACAGTATTAAATTTCTTATTTTGGATTCCTCCGAAAGTGCAATTAAGTCACGTGGTGAGACCCAGGGTCGGGTCTAATTTCCCGGTTACATGGGCCCTGGTTGTTAGTTCTGTTTCATCGTGCTGGTTTCATCTCTTGTCACACACAGTAGATGGTTTTTGTTGCTAGTTTCCTCTTTTCTCTCCATTTTCCAGCTCCATGAATTCTTCTCAGCTTCTTTTAGCGACATTAATATTCTGTACGTGGTCCGTGGTCGCCACTTCAAATAAAAGGAGACCAGGTTGTTTCTTTTCATTAGTCAATGTTTTAATGTATTAATATTTCAGTTCTTTTTTTCTCTCTGGTTCTACACCAACACATCTCGTCCATTGTTACAATAAACAATGTTCTTTACGGAGTTATAGACAACTTGTGTAACAGTCTAACAATATGTGTGCAGTTAGAATACACCATCCCATGAGAATTGAGAGACTGTAGAGGCCTGGTTCCATGGTTGAGGCCAGGACACGTGATATGGGCCAGGGCCTACATTAATTCAACTCTCAGAATTCTCTTTTGTGTCACGTGGGCCTTTTTTGAGTTACACTCAATTGCTCCCTCTCCTCTTTGTTTAGACGTTCCCATTCTCTAGGGAACTCTTTCAGTTACTTTTCTCGCTGGTTTTACATGGCCTCTTGTTTTATATCACTTTGTTATAGTGATAACAGTTACCCCGTTCCGTGCGAGAGGTATGGGTGGAAGTTGTTGTGAACTTATTTTTAAGTCTAGAAAAAGTTTACAATAAGTTTTATTGTTGATATATGTTCAGACGAATACGACATAACAAAGGTCCGACGGAATAATAATAATTAATTATTTTACTGAAATTCTGTAACTGCTAGATTTGAGGCAGGTTTGTAGTTCTTCAGAAAGTTAATTCCTGAATGTCCCTATAATACCGTGTCCAATAACGCCGCTTAGTGTTAGTAAAGTACGGTATCATAGCTTCTTAGGGTCTTATCATACGGCATATCAATTATATTAATAATCTGAATTCCGTATAGTAATTAATCTTTCCAAAACTCTAAGAATTACTTCAACACTTCTGAATTGTATGTTTCGTTTTTCACTCTCCTGATTGGGTCGATCATGATTGATTACTAGGGAGGGCAGCATCCAAGAAGCCCGACCCAGTCCATGGATTTCGTTCAGTAGACAGTAGAGCACCATGCCAGGAATTGGAATATTTGTTGTTGTTAATCATAATGGTGATTGATAATACTCCACATAGATAGAATGACTTATATACCACATTTTAATCGTAATCTTTAATTTCATTCAGCAATTTACTACGTTACAATTAATGCTAGTCGTAACTAATAGCATCCAAGATACTATTCATTCCATCATGTCAATGTCATAAGTAGACTGGTATGCCCACATCCAGAAATATTTAAATTTCCTCGCTGTTCAATGTTTCTCCCCTAGAAATTTTCTCATGCCCTGAAAGGTCATCTAAAAATTTCCTCTTTGGACATCATATAAAATCCAAAATTTCCTCGCAGATTATTTGGCATTCCACCGCTTTTCTGATTGGTGAACGTAAAATTATCTGCTAACCATCATGTCATAAGTAGCCCGAAGTAAATACTATCCACTCACTTATTAAATAAAAGTTCTAAACAAGGGATAGCTAAAAAGAACGCCCAAGTCGAATATTTCCCTAAAACAAATAACTTAATGTCAAAAATTTCTCTTGTCAAATGCTAAATTACGGAGATAGTAGACATCAAACAAACACTGATTAGGCTAGACGTTATAACTAGCAATAAGGTGAAAAGTATCTGTAAATTGTTAAACTAAAATACTTACTTTGAAGTAATTAGTTTAACATTTGTAGATACTTTTCGCTTCTGAATTATATTACAAAACTTAATAGTTACATAACCCGAACCGCAACAAACACTGGTTAATATTAGGCTAGACGTTATAACTAGCAATAAGGTGAAAAGTATCTGCAAATGTTAAACTAAAATACTTACTTTAAAGTTACTAGTTTAACATTTGTAGATACTTTTTGCTTCTGAATTATATTACAAAACGTAATAGTTGGTCTGGATTTATTACATGAATTTCCTCCACATACCGGGGCTTGGTGCCGGGATCACATCGGTGGTAATTAAATAAAAATATACACAATCATAATCACATAACAATATAAAATTTTCATTTGTCATATTTGGTTAAAAAGTGTTATTTCAAGTTCATTTACCCCAACTTCCAAGCTATTTTGGGATGTTGTTTATGCTTCTGATATTATATATTTTTATAATATAATGTCGGAAAGTTTTGATAATAAGGTTTCCTGCCCGGAAACGATGCATAACTGCATTTAACAGATACTTAATCACAATTAAACAAGCCCCGGCGATAGGCCACACTACCGCCACATCAGTGCACACTGTAGAGGACTGAGGGGCTTGTTTTTAGGACGCAGTCACTGTGCTTTTCATCAACTTTATTGTAATTTACGGCTTCTCTTCTTATATTAATACTCTCTATACTTGAATTCAGTATGCTTACAATGCTTACAATGCTTACAATGCTTACAATTGAATTTGCGAATAAACACATACAAGCAGTATATTTATTATTTATTTATTATCTTAAGAACCGGGAAATGTTCATTGTTCAATAAACATTCAAATCACATACTTAAATAAGATTTTTATTATTGGCGCTTTACTTCTTATTCTTAAATGGATACATCGAGATTTTGTCAGAATTTGCATTGCCCTTTGATGTCGACGATTTTATTATCAAACCATTTGAACAAGTATCTTGTAGCACTGCAAATGATAGAGCACATCTATTTCGAGCTAGAATGCGACTGCTCCCCTAACTTTGAGGAGGTAAGTTTAAAATAAAATTCGTAATATATACATATTTAATAAAAACACGATATACATAATTTATTAATTATTAATGGTATGTGTACAATATGTGAGGCTAATATGTGGGCTTTAAAGATAAAGGTCGATTTAAAACTGTAAGCTTGATTTATGATCGTATTGATAAGGATAAAGATAAGCTAATTTAGTAAGACTAGCTTATTGACAAGTTAGCTGAATTGCTCGCTGCTAACTTTAGCAAGAATTCTTAGAACTGTCAAGATTAGATAGGAAACATTCCGACGAAATTCTGAAGAAATCTGGAAACGAATACGTAACGATAAATTTGGCATGATGAACGAAATGGCCACCAAAAACTCAAACAAACGATTTGAAACAATTTGTGTGACACGTGGCTTAATGTCCCTTCCTGTGTGACGTCACGTGACGTCAAGTCAGGTGATTTGCTAACACGTGGTGTTTCAGGACAAAGGAGGACACCTAGAATACTCCCGTGTAATGTGTTACAACGACCTGTCCAGAGGAGACGCTGAGGACTTCCTAAGAGGACTTCCAGCCGGCTCTTATCTTGTCAGACCCTGCTCCGATAAGGCGGGAAATAAACTATCTTTATCAGTCGTGTGAGTACATCCTTACACAAACAATTCTAATACTCCTCTTCTTCTCACTTCATGCTCCTTCTTTATTTTCCTCTTCTTCTCACTTCATGCTCCTTCTTTATTCTCCTCTTCTCACTTCATGCTCCTTCTTTATTTTCCTCTTTTCAATTCATGCTTCTTCTTTATTTTCCTCTTCTTCTCACTTCATGCTCTTTCTTTATTTTCCTCTTCTTCTCACTTCATGCTCCTTCTTTATTTTCCTTTTCTCACTTCATGCTCCTTCTTTATATTCCTCTTCTCACTTCATACTTCTTCTTTATTTTCCTCTTCTTCTCACTTCATGCTCCTTCTTTAGTTTCCTCTACTCCTCACACCTTGTTCCTTTATTTTCCTCTACTCCTCACTGAATCCTACAATCCTGACACCCTCTATTTCAGGAGTGAAGAGAGTGGGCCTCTGAACCACTACCTTATAAGACTAGATAACGGCTACAAACTTGAAGGAAGACATGACAGATTCTGCTGCTTAAAGAGCTTTCTTAAAGCACATTCTCAGTATTACCTGGGATTACAAGTCAAACTTAGGATACCCATCTTCTCCAGTGAGTAATTTACTAGTAATACTTGGAAACCAGTGTATTTTACTGTTAAGTAATTAGGTTACCTCGTATAAATCAATTTAGTGTACAATGTATACGTGTACACTATAAACTGTACACTGTGTACGTTTTGTTTTAGAACTCTTCCTTTAAACGTTTCTAACAGTGTTATTCAAGGATCGCTGTTTCACATGATAGAGATCTGGGAGTATGAAACTAGCCGGAGCAGGTGGGAAGGCTTCTCACAAGAACAAACATACAGACTAGCTACTCTCCGCAAGACCATCAACCCTGTACACACATTCGAGGACGGATCTACTGTTAATGTAAAGGTAAGTTTCACCATTTTAATGAAGGTCTACTTAATGTAAAGGTAAGTAATGAAGATCTATTGCTTTGCTGTTTCCATTGCTGTGTGCTAGTCGTATTGGATGTAATTAAACTGTGTTAACTTATGAAATATTTCAAAATTTGTCTTCTTCTCGTATCATATCATAAGTAGTCCTGCCCGGCTGCCCTATTTCTGCGTAGAGGTCTTCTTAGATAGTAGATATTATTACCTAGTACAGTACAGCTGGTAGATGATACCCGGTACAGCTGGTAGATATTACCCGGTACAGCTGGTAGATGATACCTAGTACAGCTGGTAGATGATACCTAGTACAGCTGGTAGATGATACCTAGTACAGCTGGTAGATGATACCTAGTACAGCTGGTAGATGATACCCGGTACAGCTGGTAGATGATACCTAGTACAGCTGGTAGATGATACCTAGTACAGCTGGTAGATGATACCTAGTACAGCTGGTAGATGATACCTAGTACAGCTGGTAGATGATACCTAGTACAGCTGGTAGATGATACCCGGTACAGCTGGTAGATGATACCCGGTACATCTGGTAGATGATACCCGGTACAGCTGGTAGATATTACCCGGTACAGCTGGTAGATGATACCTAGTACAGCTGGTAGATGATACCCGGTACAGCTGGTAGATGATACCCGGTACAGCTGGTAGATGATACCCGGTACAGCTGGTAGATGATACCTAGTACAGCTGGTAGATGATACCTAGTACAGCTGGTAGATGATACCTAGTACAGCTGGTAGATGATACCCGGTACAGCTGGTAGATGATACCCGGTACAGCTGGTAGATGATACCCGGTACAGCTGGTAGATGATACCCGGTACAGCTGGTAGATGATACCCGGTACAGCTGGTAGATATTACCCGGTACAGCTGGTAGATGATACCTAGTACAGCTGGTAGATGATACCTAGTACAGCTGGTAGATGATACCCGGTACAGCTGGTAGATATTACCCGGTACTGCTGGTAGATGATACCTAGTAGAGCTGGTAGATGATACCCGGTACAGCTGGTACCCATTACCATTCATCATATTCCCTGAAATGCTCCACAATTCTTCACCCGCAATTAACAAATTGTGATGTAAGATTGCTCTCTATGTTATAATGTTACGTTCTCTTTAAATTCTTTATTATGTTCCCTATATATTTTTTTATACAGGGTGGGCCAAAAGTCAGTGTGCAAACGTTGGGTCTTATACCTCCGCCGTGTTTTATATTTGAGAGCTGTTGCTTTGCAGATGGCATACTGTACTTACTGGTTCGAGGATTCCGTCGTCAAAATTTGAAAATTCGAATATTTTAGACCACGCCCATTCAATATTAAAACACCTATATTGTTTTCTCTGAACATGATGAACGCCTAATTTTTTCAGAGACGGTAGATTATCAAATGTTGCATATGATCTGAAAACATGAGGCAAAACGGATTAGAAATGACGAAGTTATCAAGCATTTTGTGTATCTCGTTAACAAAATTGACTGGGTGATTATGTGACACCGTGACACGACACCTTAATTGGGCACCCTTAACAATTCCCATAATGTTTAACGAGGTAGTTAACGGGGTCACCTTATCACGTGATTAGGTAAACCAATCACCTGATCACACGTAATGAATAAACTCGTTATGCTTCATATCTCGGTCATCTGAGAAGCTACAGTTCTAATTCTTTCAGGACAAACGTAATTCGAATGGCCAAACACAATTCAATAACATTTAGCTTGATCCGACTATCCAAACTATCAAATAAATGTGAAAATGAACCTCCATTTGAAAAAAATGAACGCGAATATTTTTCGAGTTGACAATTTCCTCGAACCAGTGGTGGTACTAAGTCATACCAGAAGGAATTATTTCAATTGGGCACTCAGTGACTGAGCTATTAAGGCCAACGTTTGCACACTGACTTTTGGCCCACCCTGTATAATATTTGGTGTATACCCTCTCTCTCTTTATATAATATTCTCTCTGAGCTCTCTCTCTATATGATATTCTCTCTCGCTCAGCTCTCTCTCTCTCTCTCTCTCTCTCTGTATGTACTGCTCTACAATTCACCTAATTCTTTCTCCGTCTCTCAGTAACCGCGTCACTAGATTCTGCAGAAGCAGAATTCGTCGAAATAACTGTTCTATCTGGTAAAAGTGGACAAGTCACCGGCTTCTCCAGAAGACGCGGTCTACTGATTTTAAATAGTCATAAGTCATTCCAGCTCACAACGCACTGTTCGTATTTCTGTGGAAATATTAAGATGTCTGGTGCTACCAGCCGTTCTCAAGTCAAAACTGCGTACCGGATTATGTTTATATATTCCGGTTTATATTTATATATTTACATATATATTATATATTCCGGTACGCGGTTTTGATTTATATACGCGGTTTTAATGAAACACGGCTGCTTTTTCTAGAACGAACTAAATATTTATAATTTAGTTCGAGACATATTTATGTTTGACATAATTCCGGTGACCTAAATGATTTGGGAACGAAAATATGGGAATTTTTTCCAAAAACCGCCACATTTCGTACCCCACATTTCGTTCCCCAAATCATGGTATATGGGGAATTTTTTCATCTCCTTATTTTACAAAAATGAAACCCACTATTTGAGAAAATTAAATACAAAGATATTCTCTGATAAGCTGTTTCATCTTGTAAACAATTTCTCCGGAGCCTTTGAAAATTAGCCTCAACTTAACTTCTAATTCACCAAAAGGTATAGGAAACCGACGGTGTCTGTAATCTTCCACTACTCCTGAAATTTCACCGCCGTGGCCAATATAGTAGTGACAGAGCTTGCTTACTTTTAATCATAATGGAACGTGTCCCTTAAGTTGAAAGTCCTTAAGATCCTATGGTCCAGATTAGAAGTAAGGGTAAATGTAAAGGTCTTTTGAGAATAAAGCCTTAATAAGGGCCCTAATGTCCTGGTTACAGGTTACAGGTTACAGTGAGGGCCCTAATGTCCTGGTTACAGGTTACAGTGAGGGCCCTAATGTCCTGGTTACAGGTTACAGTGAGGGCCCTAATGTCCTGGTTACAGGTTACAGTGAGGGCCCTAATGTCCTGGTTACAGGTTACAGTGAGGGCCCTAATGTCCTGGTTACAGGTTACAGTGAGGGCCCTAATGTCCTGGTTACAGGTTACAGTGAGGGCCCTAATGTACTGGTTACAGGTTACAGTGAGGGCCCTAATGTTCTGGTTACAGGTTACAGTGAGGGCCCTAATGTCCAGGTTACAGGTTACAGTGAGGGCCCTAATGTCCTGGTTACAGGTTACAGTGAGGGCCCTAATGTCCTGGTTACAGGTTACAGTGAGGGCCCTTATGTCCTGGTTACAGGTTACAGTGAGGGCCCTAATGTCCTGGTTACAGGTTACAGTGAGGGCCCTAATGTACTGGTTACAGGTTACAGTGAGGGCCCTAATGTACTGGTTACAGGTTACAGGTTACAGTGAGGGCCCTAATGTACTGGTTACAGGTTACAGTGAGGGCCCTAATGTCCTGGTTACAGGTTACAGTGAGGGCCCTAATGTACTGGTTACAGGTTACAAGTAACATAACCTCCGGGGGGCGGAGTTAAACTCCCTCATTTCCACAGCTTCATTTCAACACGTGTTTGTGAGAATTGAATTACCACGTACCACGTACCATGCTGTGAGATCTATTCAATACAACACACATCTCTTAAAACAGCCACTCTCTCTCTGAGAGAGAGCAACACTTGCCTTATCACATACCGCGCTGGACTAACCATCTCTTATATCTGTAATAACACATACGCAGCAATTATAATGGCAACTACTATCCCACCATGATTAGTACATTGTGTGGTGTACGCGTGTACGTGTTTTAACAAATATATGCGTGTTTTAAAATATACGTACGTGTTTTAACAAATATGCTGCACGTGTGTACGTGTTGTAGTGTTGCACGGTGGGGTTCCACATTCCCTATTTACCCACACTGTTGGTTACACGGGATAGCGGGTCAAATTAACATATTGTAAGGAATTACACAATACACATTAATCAAGGTAAGGTCTTTTCATCATGTGGCCATGTTGCCTCAAAATACGGTAACCGCTTGAATCTGATGTTATAACTAATGAGATCCTAGACTAATAGTAGAAATCTAAATAGTTTTGATAGACGGGGCCGGTGTACGGGGTTCCACAGTGTCTGGCTGTATTTTATTTCTGATTACTATAACAATACACCATGCACTTGTTACACCAACGGTGAACCATGTAACAGGCTACTAGTAAGGATAAGAGCCAGTTGTTGTGGCACGTGACAGTGATTCGAGGATTTGATTGGTCACTGCTGGAAACCGATTGGTTAATCTCTGTCACGTGTCTGTCATGTGCCTGGAAAAATGCTCGAATATTTTCTGTCTGTACTCAAAACACAGTTTTACTGATGAGATATTTAAAGTTACATACCTCAGAGATCTCTTGACTGAGGTTGGCTGTATAATGTACAGTGTATACCTGTATATACAGTGTATACGGTCACTGTGTTCTGTGTTGCCAGTTTACACAGAACAATGGTATAAAATTAAATAATTATTCCACTATTAGATAATTATTCAAACTAACCGGTTGGCATATATTAATGTATCCAGGGCAGTGGATCTATAACAATATTTTATGAGCTAATTTAAACTGTCACGTTTAAACATATCTCACCATTTGCCCTAGAACAAGAACTACCACAACCATCATTTTCCTACCCCAGTATTTGCTTTAATGGGGTTATAATATTCTAAATACTAGTGTAACCCGTGTCTACGGCCGGAGATTCATTATCGCATTTGCAAAAGTTTAAACGGTGCAAAAGTATGCAGTCGCTGATCAGTCGAAACCGGCCCCATTAGAGTAAATTTAATAATAATTCTAATATTCTAAATATTGCAATTGGGCCCCTTTATATTATATTTGTTTAAAACCCTCCTCTGTTTCAGTTAGGAACGCGGGAAGTTCCCTGTATATACGGGAAACAAATACAGAACGTGAGAATGAGATACGTGTACGGCTTATGTGACAGATGTACTCTCAAAACTATACATCCCATACTAAAACACTCCCACCATACCAGAGTGAGTTGTTGTGGTTACTATCATTACGGTTACTATCGTTACGGTTACTATCGTTACGGTTACCATCGTTACGGTTACTATCGTTACGGTTACTATCTTAACGGTTACTATCGTTACGGTTACTATCGTTACGGTTAATATCGTTACGGTTACTATAGTTACGGTTACTATCGTTACGGTTACTATCGTTACGGTTACTATCGTTACGGTTACTATCGTTACGGTTACTATCGTTACGGTTAATATCGTTACGGTTACTATAGTTACGGTTACTATCGTTACGGTTACTATCGTTACGGTTACTATCGTTACGGTTACTATCGTTACGGTTACTATCGTTACGGTTACTATCGTTACGGTTACTATCGTTACGGTTACTATCGTTACGGTTACTATCGTTACGGTTACTATAGTTACGGTTACTATCGTTACGGTTACTATCGTTACGGTTACTATCGTTACAGTTACTATCGTTACAGTTACTATCGTTACAGTTACTATCGTTACATTTACTATCGTTACAGTTACTATCGTTACAGTTACTATCGTTACAGTTACTATCGTTACAGTTACTTTCGTTACAGTTACTATCGTTACAGTTACTATCGTTACAGTTACTATCGTTACAGTTACTATCGTTACAGTTACTATTGTTACCGTTACAGTTACTATCGTTACAGTTACCATCTTTACGGTTACTATATTTACAGATACTATATTTACAGATACTCATTTACAAATTGTTTATTAAATACTTTTTAAATGTTTAAATAGTTTTCAAATTTTACTGAGTTCAGCAATAAATGATCAAAAAATGTTGTACGGGTGAAACGTGGAAACTTTCCTGGTGTTAAAAAACAATTTTTTAAACTGGTCTGTGGTTTAATATTTCACCTAACCCTCACTTTTACTTTAACATTAACTGTGTACTACTGTAACATTACTGTAACATTAACTGTGTACTACTGTAACATTACTGTAACATTAACTGTGTACTACTGTAACATTAACTGTGTACTACTGTGACAAGATTTAGCAAATTTTCTTTTATTTCCATACACACAACAATTTCCTAAAAAACAAACATCGTAAATTGGCGTTATCTCGATCAGCAGATTGCATTTCTTAGAAATTCGTTTTTAAAATTAGAGGTAATCTCATTACACGATTATCTTTTCAATCCCCAGAATTCAGCTCTCTCGCTAGGAAACAAAACTTTTGATCACGATTCGTCTACGCATATTAATCATACTTTATTTAAAAAATCATTGTTAGGAACATTTCTTTAAACTTTTTATGCTTCTCTTTTCGCGAAAAGTTTGTGTGACATGGACGAGAGCTACTTTTGATCGTGACAAATATTTTCAATGTTGCATAATGATGATGTCATGATCTCAATAGATTTAACAGATTTCTAGTGTTGTAATAGTTTAAAATACATAGTTGGATTTTAACTGCCATTTTCATAATTGTGACTGAAGATCATGGTGTTAAATGTGGAAAATGAATTAAACATTCAATGTTTCTATACTTTAAGTTTTAAACAGATTTATTCTTGGAATGCTAAGGATCACCTAACTTGCTAAAAATAAAACACTACATATTCTCTAACTACAAATCAGATAGGGTTGCCATTATCGGTACAATTCTTTTTATCGCGATAATCGATAATTTTTTCGAAATTATCGCGATAATATCGGTTATCGGCGATAAATTTGGCAAGATAATTGAAGTAATATTTGTCTGCACTCTGCGTACTTACATATTGTATTATGCTCCTATGCTATGTAACCTTGCAATATCATCATTATATAGTAACAAAATGGCATAAAATGTAGAAAATCAACAATCAGCATATCTAACGAAGATTCATTCAAGTTACAAAATAGTTTATTCAAAAAAGTCTGCTGGCGTGGTACGATATAATATAATGAACGGCGTATTTCTTAGATAGTGTCAGTTTTCTGCCTGTTAGTTGTGAATAGGTCAATCTCCCGAGCAAGGGTATCTATCATTGGTACCGAGTTGTCGAATGGCCTGTAAGTCCTGATAACCAGTCGCCGTTTGTCTCTTACTACTTGAACAACCGCTGGTGCAGGGACTTAAAGTTACTTCGTGATAATTCTAGAACGTTACCAGCGATACAAAGTTAAGGTTCTTTCAATCTTTCTCTTAACATATCGTGTACGTAGACTATCAACTTCAAGAAGAGATCGAAAATGTAGCAATTATATCTTTTCCGGCTGTCAATAAACTGAAGAATCACTTCTGCATGAGCGAGATTTTTGTCTCTTTTACACAGAACTGATAATGTCTTTAACTAACTCAGTCTTTTCAGCATCCAGTTTTAGATTACCTAGCTCCAATTCAACCAAAACGTCGTTCACTGCATTGCAGTTATCACTCCAACTGCCAACATACTGCACAGTGAGCTCCAACGGTTTTTGCAGTCTTGTTGTAGTCTGAGTTCCTTTCTGTGCTTCAACAAACAACAATCTCTACGTCTGAGCATACAACCTTCAAGTTCAATCCACCTACTTACTTAGATGCGATAACGCAACATTTAAATTTTCATTGCCACAAATTCATTCACAATACACACTACACAGCACGTCAGCATACCATCACACTGTAAATTATGCTAGCACTGGGGTTTTACTCTACAAACAAAGAAACAGATTAGAAAATCTGTGCCATTTTTCCCTAATAAAAAGTGGTTGATTATCGCGATAATTCTCGAAAATTATCGCGATAATCGATAACGATTTTTGGAGAATTATCGCCGATAATTATCGGCCGATAATATCGGCTGGCAACCCTAAAATCAGATAGAGAAATCTTTAAAATCGTCAGAAAAAATGTTGCATGAGGGTCGTCCTGTGTAATTTGTTTTCTGTAATTATTAGTAGTAAGGAATGTCGGACACGAAAGTAATAAACTTTCGCATACCTGGAATATTTTACTCAGCCTGTGTGACGCACGTGGGCGCGGCTTAAGTACCTAATTAATATCATTCTCGTGAGTAGATGGAATTTGGAGCATTAGTAACCGTAATATCACCAGTAACTCCAAGATGGTCAATAAGGAATGAGGATTGGGATTAATTCGTATCTTAATAATTTGCTAATTACTAATTACCTAACTAATTAGTATAATTAACACGGCCGTCTCCTCAGTCAGCAAAGCACCAGTTCAGGATATGGGAGTATTATGATGGCAGTGAGTGGAGATGTTTCGAGTACGGTAAAGCTTCCTTCCAACACTTCCTAGCTTCATTCTCCCTTCTTTGTAAGGTCAGTTTCAAAGAAGTGTCACGTGGTGTGACGTCATGTCACGTGGTGACATTTATCCTGGAAAGTTTTGACGGTTTCCGTGAATGTACGTGTTTTCATTCTGATGAGCTGTTTTTCAATCTAACCTGTTTAAAAGTTTAAAACATTTATTAATTTCAATAAATAAACATGCTCACAACTCAGAACGGTACAGTCAAAGATAAAGCTATAACGATAAGAGATAGCTACGGAACACAATGGTACATAGACCTGATAAACGACAAGATAACGAACTACAGTTCCTCGGGTGCTGTTAGATCTTATGTAATCAGACAGAGAGAGGTGCACGGGGTTACGTGCGATGATATTCATCAGGTTTGTTAACATTTCTAGTTTGCAGTTCTTGTTAATGTTTATAATTAACATGGAGATGTAACTTCTGTTAATGCTAATTTTTGTCGGTAACTTTTCTGCACTTTCGCATCATGAGTTGACAGAAACTACAGTTACTATAATATCTTTTAAAGTTGTATCTTGAACTCATTATGACAATTAAATATTAAAAATTAAATTCTAAATGCCAATTTTCAGGAGAAGGAGCGATACTTATCACGTGACAATCACAACGCGCTGCACGTGCTACAAAACACGTACTGTAACGCGCACTACACGTATCCTCCCACGTGGAACAACAAACTAGTCCACACCCTCGCCACCACGTCCGAGGAGTACAGACACATTTCCTGTCAGATACCACTACCACACAGGACACACATATCTTCTGTTATTAGAATACAGGACACGGACTCTTGGCACATGTTCTCAAAGTTAGTTTTCTTATTTTCTCATTTTTACTTTTATTTCACGAAGTGGAACTTACAAAACATGGATCACTCTTATCTTAGGATCAAGGCGACATTTTGCTTAAAAGCTGTTCGATAGAAAGACCGCAAAAATTCTTTAAATCTATTCAATGGAATGACCGCATGGTGAGATTCGATTCACTGAACGGTTAACTAAACCATGACGTAAGGTCATCTTGCGAATATTCCCTGCCGAGTGATCTATCTCTGGAATTCCAAGTATTGGAACTCTATGAAGTGTCGTGATTGCTAATGCCGCATAGTTTGATGTGAAGTGTGCTTAATGTAGAGTGTACAGTGTACTATAATATTATATAACACTATAAATAATTTCATACAAATAGAGATTAGATAAGGATAATTGGACTATTTAAACAATAACGATTGAAATATACTCTATACCTTTCCAGGAAGCGTATTCGCAGCTCAAATGAGCGGAAATAGAAATAAATAAGCGCTGAACGACAAACCATTATAGCTGCATGTAGAGTGTAGAGTGTAGAGTGTAGAGTGTAGAATGTAGAGTGTATAATATTGTATAGTGTAGTGTATACTGTATAGTTTACAGCTACTGTAGGGTCTTCATAAGCATAAAAAGACCACAAAAATGCTTTAAATATATTCAATGGAATGACTGCATCTTGAGACATACTGAGTAGCTGAGAAAACCACAGCACTTATTCTGAGGTCTACTCTCATATTCCCAGCATATATTTGACTAGGCCATTGTACCAACCATGTAATCAAATTAAACAATGTAATAGTCTCTAGGGGAAAAAAATAAGAAACTTTAATTAAGTAAAGATAATTTAATGATGTCCCCTTTATATAAAGCCAAGCGAATATGGCTAGAGTGTAAAATTGACGGGCAAAGCCTTAAAAACAGCTAAAGTTAAGTAATGATTAAAATAAACATGACAATCATGTTTGCCGACCTCTAAATAGCAAGTACAGCTTTATTTCAACTCAATAGAGTATAGTGTCAGAAATACTTATTTTCCGATTTTGACCGAAAAATAATACCAATTTTGCACATTAATTTCTAAACTTTTAGTCAAATCGGTATCGATTGGGTTGCCCCCCCCCCCCCTCCCCTCTCCACATATTTTAACAGCTTAGTGCTTTTCTTTAGAACCCCTCGCCAGTTACCTTCAATTACACACGATCTGGAATTCCAAGTATTGTAATGTCGTCACCGCTCACGCTGCATAGTTTAAACAATCTGATGTGAAGTGTACAGTGTATAGATTATATAGTGTATAGTGTAAATTGTGTATAGTGTATAGTGTATAGTGCATAGTGTATAGTGTATAGGGTATAGTGTATAGTGAAGTGTGTAGTTAACATTTATGGTAGGGTTCTATAAGTATAAGACTGTTATGAGATTGTTAAGCAATTATAAACGCCCATTCTTGTTGATTTCACAAGACCATATTTTTCCATTATAACAGTTAAAGGAATAAAGAGCAGTAAAGTAACTCCTCAATAACGATTAAGTTCCAAATTTGACTGTTAGTGGGGACTCTAATACGCTGTAATGTCCTTGTTTTTCCTAGAAAATTTGAGGGTTACTAGCGAGCAATTAAGTAAATGCTGTATTGATAGATTCGTGAGAAGCCTAGTCAAGTTACTTCGCAAGAAATACTGAAATTCTCGCGCGTTAACGTTAACTAATGTCACCGCAGCTGTTAAAAGTGCAGCTTTCTGCAGAAGTGAGCTGTGCAAGGACGTGACTAATATTAATTTCTGAGGTTACATTTTGTGTGATTCTAAGTTTCGAGATGCCCTAGTAAGTTTAACAGGACTACCCGCATATTCTTAGGAAAGGTTGGTCTTAAACCATTAGTCAGGTTTAGAATTTGTTGACAATGCCAACCTGTTCGTAATCCTGCCTTCATAACATGTTTGGACAGTGCTCGTGAGTCATCAGATGCTATAGTTGTACATGTTGCTTCATGAAGGCCAGGTCATATCAAATAGTTCCTATTCCTGCTAAACTAGTACCTACTAAATTTGGTAATCACATGTGCGAGGGAATTTGACGTCAGGCGCGGTAAACTTTGAGCAACGAAAGATGCCACCATGCTGCGCGCGCTACAGTCTTCAAATCGAATTGTATCGTTATTTAAGGGCGCATTATTTAAAGTCAGCTACATAACATGTGCATAACGTGTGATAAAAGCGATGCCGCTAATAATTGTTACTAATAATCATCGTCATCGAGGTAATTGTAACTAAACTTATTTACAGAGAGCACCAGTTATTGAGCCTAACGAGTAGCAGCGTTAAGGTGGACTTACTGTGGTCTGATAGCACAATGAACAGAGAACATGAGGCTTCTGATAAAAGTAAGTTACATTCTCTTTCATTTTGTAGTAAGTTACATTCTTTTTCACTAAGTTGTAAGTTACAATCTCTTCCACTTAGTAGTTAATTGCCTTCCATTTCTCTAAGTAGTAATTTACATTCTCTTTCACTTAGATGTAAGTTACACACTCTTTCACTTAGTAGTATGTTAAATTCTCTTTCAGTAAGTAATAAGTAGCATTCTCTTTCATTCTCTTAATCCTTATATTTTGCAGATGGGTTAGAAACCAGCCTGATAACACACGACTGTATATATTTCGACAGACACATCCAAACAAAACAAAACTTCAATACTCTAGTGCTGTGCAAGGTGAGAATTTTGTAATCCATATCTTTCTATTCTGTAACTTTAATATGTTTTTGTCTGTAATTTTATCAGTCATTGGCAGGATATCTTGTGTACTTTGTAAATGGCTATATCTCATTGTAATGCATGTTTCAATACACAGTATAGTGGACTACATCTGACACTGTGAACTATTTGCAGGTAGCCTACGACCCTTCGGATAACCAGAGTGTAGTAGATGACCCGTTCCACGCCACTACAGTTCACATGGACACTAGGGTAAATACACTCAGTCTTGTAGTCATGGCAACAAGATAAGATGTTGTCAGAATTTTAATTTTCATAACTGTCACCGTTAAAAAAGTAGCTATATAAACTACATTATAAATAGTAAGAATAGATTATCAGGCTAAGGATAGTTCTCCAATGATCTTCCTACTGCCTTACATATGCGGAGAGTTGTCACAGTGTTAATCAGTATAAGGAGCAACCCAGTAACCGGAGCACAAATGCTGCTTGATTAAGCAGAAACCGGCTAAGGAGCTTAATAATAGTACGATTCCGAGAAAAGCCGGAAAAATTAACTTGCAAATTTGCGGCCCTTTATAATTTGGAGCACTCAGCACAGTCACGTATTATTTATGTGAAATATAACGGAATGTTAGATAACAATGCTGAGATGTTGCCTGTTCCAGTGCTGGTTCAGGGCCTGTTTTAGGTTATTATTTTATTAGAATTTGACTTTGACGTTACATCCAGACGTTACGCGGACCGTTATCTCGAGGTTGCAATGTCTTCTCTACAGTTAATGTGTGTGAAATTTGGGGTGCACAAAACATAAACTGAACCTGCACTTTCTGATATGATATTTATGCAATTATTTACAGATATCCACACACAGTATTTGGTCCACACTCCACATGTATTCAGATGAAAATTCTAATTAAACAACATTAGCCAAAAACCAGCTTTCTTTGAAATAATGTAACTCTTATAAAGCACAAAATGGCGGTGGGCGGTAAAACACGAAGAAAACTTCGAATTAAAATACAGATTAAGTCAACACTATCTGACTATCACGCTCTCTATATATACTCTCTATATATATATAACTATAAGTTAACCCTCTCTTATTCCAGCACAGAGACGCCATCACTCCACTTTTCTGCGTTTTCTTCAACCCAGCCCTTAAGAATGCTTCATCCAACAACTGCAAGACAACTGACGAGAAGACAGTCGCTTTGGAGATGAAAACTTTACCGGACACAAATCCTAGTTGAATCCTATATAAAGGGGTGCACAAATCCTAGTTTTAATCCTAGACCAACAGGCACAAATCCTAGTTTCAATCCTGTTAATTTATATTGTCTGTTATGTGACAATTCCTTTGTGAACTCGAGTTGGTAATTTTGTTGTTTTGTTTAAATGTTGCGAATCTGAGTTCACATGACAACACTTGCATTACATGCAGTTATTCCGGGGGAGGCAGTTCAGAGTTATCTTATCAAATGTATTCATATTACTTAGTAAGCTCATCATATTATGATTATTATTTAAAGTAATTGAGAGTGAGATGAAGTCCTGAACTTTAGGATTTTTATCTAATTCTAACAAAATACGCTCTTTTCATCAAAATTCTTATTTAGCTCCAATTTTCTGGGGCATTATATTTTGGGTTGCCTGAATTTTACCTGACGTCACAAAAACATTACGTGACGTCATGACAACACCACGTGACGTTATCATTTACGTCAGCAGTCAGTTATTGATTTAGTATTCTGTAAATAGCTTAACATTTGGAATGTTATAAATGGAATTACTCGAGTGTTTTATTTGTTTGAAATTCTACTAATTAATGATAATATTAGTACAATTAGGATACTCAATATTAGTCATTGTTTCAAACATTAGTTCTATTATGTATCTCATTGTGATAAAACATAAAAATCTCATCGAGAAAATCTTCTAGGCCAAGAAAGAAAAAGAAGCAGATCGTTTATTTTTCAGTCTAGTAAAATACCTTGACTTATGCATAAAAATAGTTTATCATAATGCATAACATACGATATGACGTCACACCACGTCACATGACGACACACCACGTGACATGACGTCACACCACGTGACATGACGTCATGTCACGCGCTGTTATCTCCCGTGATAAAAACTTTCAGAAACTCTCGTTTAGAAATTAGTCCATCTTTGTCCCTGTCCAGATTATCCAGTATTGAGTCAAGTTCCTCCTCCGATATCCTCAAACCTGGAAGTTGATATAATGAAATCAACAGTAAAATTAACTTATGATATTGTATTGTATCTAATCCTGCACCTTTTCCTCCTCTACCTAGACATGCAACCTGCAACCCGAAGGTGATTGCAGCCCTTAGGGAAGACTATAAGGTCTTCATGCTTCTGTAATTAAATTATAAATAATGATAACTTGTAAACCCCAGAAGTTTGCAGTACTGTCATGAATCGATATACTTACTGAGCTTGCAGTGTCATTTGGCCATGAGAAAAGCTGGGATTGACCGTAAAATTGTATAGAAATAAATGCCCTTCATAACATTTATTCCTCTGAATTGAAAAATGACGTGGGTGCAAAACTAAGTATGAATCAGTATGAATCGTGGTGTGAAGATTAGGTACACCTCTGTGTAAAAAGATGCAGGTTAGGAAGTTTAAACATAAAATTAACTAATGATTTAATGAGGTGAATTGTAGAAACAGGTAATTTAGTTAAGTGCCAGGTCTTCCGGTATATAATTATAATTATAGGGAGGGGTAGTTTTGGAACACTATAGAAATCTAGTGTTATCCTAATACCTTTGTTCACACTAATTCATGGATTGATATAACTATACTCATTACTCATATATATGATATAGTTATACTATAACTGCCGATATTATTAATTATATAATTATAAATATATATATTTACTCATACTTGAATATTTACTTATACTGAAGAGTGTATTCTTGAACTCCACTCTGCTCAGATGACCACTGTTATTTCTGTCAAATACCCTGAAAATAAAATAATCAGTGAAGTTAATCGTGAAATATATTGTCTGCAATCTGCATGCTGCAAAACTACAGATAGTAGATAATAGTGATCGTAAAAGATAATAAATTAATGAAAGAAAAAAAAAATCATTACAATAGTAACCGATAGAAATTAGTATGAATTGATTAAGGATTGGGTAATGGGTTAGGGTTGGGATCAGATTAGAGGGTTAGTGTTTCGAATAGTCGTTCAGGGCCAGCTAGAGAACGGGTTGAAAAAGTCACGTGACAGTCGAGTGATTAATCATCCTTAATTCCCACTTCTGAGAAGATGGTACGTAAACCCCCTCAGAGTCCGTGTTGACGGATAATACTATTGTCATTGATACAGTCTAAGTTTCTTCGAAATTGAAAATTACCCGCGGCAAAATGCTGCGAAGAGGCGTGCCGGGTCAGTCCATTAACAATCATGAACAAGATCTGTGACTCGTCAAAATTTTGATCACATCCTAACTTCTCGAGATCACGTTTCACACGAATCTCAGACAATAAATACAAGTTGTCGAGTTAATCAAATGTGATGCGTAAAAAATTAACCTGAAGACGGACTCGAACTGTTCTTTAGGAGTTATAAAAGGATTGTGCTGGCGGGACATTAGTTTTACAAATTCACAGAAACTAAGCACACCGTCATTGTTCATGTCCACTGAGTTAATCATTTCTACTACCTCCTTCTCTGAGGGACGCAGCCCCACCTGCAGGATAATGTACCGTTATACCTTGAAAAACCCATTTGTCACTTGAATGAACAAAGTTATTGTTAACATAACATTAACAACCCACCCCCCATTCCTCAAGGTTACTGGTAAAATATAAAATAAATCTATTCGATAATATCACGTGGTGTCACGTGGTGTAACGTACCCTTTCCAACAAATCACACAGTTCGTCTACGCAGATCACACCATCCTTGTTAACATCGTAGTTCTTGAATGCTAACTCGTACTCCTAGGATCAAGGATGATGAGTTTAAGTTACCATGGTAACACACGTGTTATCATCAATGTCACGTGACAACGTTACCGTTATGTTTGCCAAAAATAAGCAAGAGATTAACATGATCAGCAAGTACTGTTTACCGTGGATCGAGTGTAAGCTGATTGGCTCAACATTTTACCTGGATCTCCTCAAAAGAGAGGGTAACTGGATACAAAGGTCACCACGTGGCATGACGTCACACCATGTGGCATGACGTCAAACCACGTAACACGTTACTTGGATCTCCTCAAAAGAGAGGGTTACTGGATACAGAGGTCACCACGTGGCATGACGTCACACCACGTAACACGTTACCTGGATCTCCTCAAAAGAGAGGGTTACTGGATACAGAGGTCACCACGTGGCATGACGTCACACCATGTGGCATGACGTCACACCACGTAACACGTTACTTGGATCTCCTCAAAAGAGAGGGTTACTGGATACAGAGGTCACCACGTGGCATGACGTCACACCACGTAACACGTTACCTGGATCTCCTCAAAAGAGAGGGTTACTGGATACAGAGGTCACCACGTGGCATGACGTCACACCACGTAACACGTTACCTGGATCTCCTCAAAAGAGAGGGTTACTGGATACAGAGGTCACCACGTGGCATGACGTCACACCACGTAACACGTTACCTGGATCTCCTCAAAAGAGAGGGTTACTGGATACAAAGGTCACCACGTGACATGACGTCACACCATGTGGCATGACGTCACACCACGTAACACGTTACCTGGATCTCCTCAAAAGAGAGGGTTACTGGATACAAAGGTCACCACGTGGCATGACGTCACACCACGTGGCATGACGTCACACCACGCAACACGTTACCTGGATCTCCTCAAAAGAGAGGGTGACAGGATACAAAGGTCACCACGTGACATGACGTCACACCATGTGGCATGGCGTCACAGCACGTGGCATGACGTCACAACACGTAACACGTTACCTGGATCTCCTCAAAAGAGAGGGTAACAGGATACAAGGGTCGGTCACGTGGCATGACGTCACACCACGTGGCATGACGTCACACCACGTGGCATGACGTCACACCACGTAACACGTTACCTGGATCTCCTCAAAAGAGAGGGTAACAGGATACAAGGGTCGGTCACGTGACAGAAACCCGTACGGTTTGTGCTTGTAGGTAAACGCGTGGTTGTACTTTGAGTGGTCTATTGCAGCCTGAAATAAAACATAAAATAACTTATTAGTTCACCTAACCATGTGCTTTCGCGCCACTGCGGGCGCGCTTGTTTCACAACTACTGCAATTGCGCAAGGGCTCTGGATAGAGCATGAGCAAACTTATTAGCATGATGAGTTAAAACGAGTGACATTAGTTATATCTGAGATTCTGTGATTAAATATATTTCGTTGATTGCAATAACAAATAATGTTATGATTAAATATTTTACTGTAACTTTGTCTTTATTGTATTTTAGTATTATTAATACGTAATGGGATGGAATGCAGCCCTGGCTCCATAATATGAAGGACTTGTTTCAATTCTAGATGAAAAGCTCGAATATTGAGTTTTTAGTTTTAGTTTAGTTTTAATCTTGTCGACTGCTGTTATTTTACGAACTATAAGTTTATTTATGTTGTACCTAATGTAGGAATTAGAAAGAATTTGTTTAAAAGGTGGTGATGATGTTTATGTCATTATTCTTGATTTGATTTGCGATCGATTTTTATTCCAGATATTTGAAAACATCAACGGTCACGCCTACCTGCGAATTCTCTGATACTCCTGAAAGTTGGCACAGACCTTTGTACTTGGGTACCTCAGGCTCAAATGTTTAAAAGAAATTGAAGCCGTTTTGTAACGCAGACCTTCCTAAATGTTTTTTTTTTCTCCTGGATAATGAGGCTTTTGCATCATTGGGCATTTATGGGCCCTTGGTCCCCTCTCGTTTTTCGATAGTTGAAAACATTAGTGACGTGAGTAATATACCTGACACCTGTTATGCAAAGTTTTAGGAGTATCTGAATATTTGCAGGTAGATTTGTATAAATTACTGAACCTGACCACTGATACACATTATGTACCACAATGTTATAAACCATGCGACATCACACAGCAGTCAGCACATGACGTCACACCACGTTACATGACGTCACACCATGTGACCTCACTTACCACGATATGATTGCGCTGTCCCCCACTGGATTGGCTGGACTTCTTCTTATTTGATGGTGCGGATATAAGAGAGACCATGAGTTACATTAGGACCACATTGTCATCAGTTGCTCTATCAGTCAGTAACTTTGTTGTAATGCATTCTATGCAGAAAATCAGGCAAATTATTTGTTTATTCGAGTTTAAATTTATTTATAATTTTCATAGAGCATCTTGAATCATCATCTTTTATTTCGTCTTATACTTCTTCACCCAAAATCAACAAGCAAATCTACTTACTAAAACACATAACAGGATCCCACAAAAAATAAAATAAGAAATTACCTTATAGAACACTGAAAATTACCATCCATGCCACTTAAAAACCACTTAAATTTCAAATTAACTGAGTAAAATGGACGGAACTGACGGAAAATACCACGTTCTAAGCTTTGGAAAATCAGAAACACAAAAGCACATACTGCAACACAGAAATAAACTACGAGGCTACGATCTCTCGATAATTTGTTTGGTATTGACTATTGACGTTACATATTTTTATTTCCGACCTTAAAGCTGGCTAAAGCAACCATTAAATTGACATTTCGCAAGATAACATCTTCCATCTTATATCATTAGATTGTATTTAGGATATAGTGAATATATCACTCTGTTTTTAACATTCCAGTACATTGTGCAAAACTTGGGGTGGATTCGAAATTGGAAGTATATGTAGGACACGTAGTAGGGGTCGATATTAGAAGAGTGAAAAGTGAAAACTGCGCTATACAATTCAACTTTGGGGCAAACTTTGTCACACGAATGTCGCAGTAAAATTTAATGCAAGTACCACTACTTTGATGTCGACCCAAATTATAACTAAATAATCTCGCACAATTGTAACTGCAGTTTTACAGAACTCTAAATGCTTAACAAATGGCCCTTCGCTGCAGGTTATGCCGTACCCTAACACTCAGATGAATTATAATTTCCCCACAGATTGAGACAGTTTCTATAACCAACAATAACCAATTCTTCAAAATGCCCTATTAAGTATTACTATTCATCTTCTTTTTCAGTGACAGTAACCTCGCTAAACTGAAACTTCACAGCTAACTAGAAACACGCACTAGAAAAGGCCGAACCTAAACGATAATAACACAACAGCTGAAACTACACAAAACTAAAGTTCAACCAAAAAGCACTGGTGAAAAAGTGTTTATTACTTGCAACCTTTACTTCCACTGCACATACTAGTAATCTAAAAACTCCACGTGCGTTAACATTACATTATGATTTTACACTGCTACCGAGTATCATAGTTGTGTGCCATCTACTCATAAATACAAAACCGTGTAAACAATATGATTATCATGCTAGGGTGGAAAGGGATTTGGAAGTACTTTAGGAAGGAGGGGAAGAGGAGGAGGACGGAGTTGGGAGGGAAGGGAGCGAGGTTGGGGGAGTCTGTAATATATTTTTTATTCTCACTGCATCTTTTTATAACACGCCAAATTACATATGGGCCCAAAACAGGTCGGACTAAACATTTTATGATTCTATGCTGCTCTAAGTCACGTGGACACCTTACTTCCTATTGCATATCTGATACTAAAAACTGATTGGGGTGAATAGAAAATTGTTCGAGGTTTTATCTCTGTAGAGAAGCGTATTAGCTTAAGAGTGCACTGTTGTTTTTGTTTTGTATGGTTTACATCTTACAGAATTGATTTGCTATATTTTCAATCAGATTTTGCAAATACAACACAAATTACTATCGTCAAATCAAACTCAACATAACTATTTTTTATTCCTGTCATCTTTGACATCAAATTAGAATGTTTTGAACTAAAAATAAATCTGCTGAACGACTTCCGATGAGTCTTAATGCCTGAAAAACTCCTGCCGGAGGCGGCGGCCTTAGGCCGCCGCCTCCGGCCGGAGTGCACGCTTCGCGTGCACGAAAGAGGCTTGTAACGTGTACCAAAGGGGGTATAATAGTATTAGTAAAGGGGGTATAATAGTAAATGGGGTACATAGTATACCCACAATAAATGCAACGGTCGTGCTTGCCAGCACTGCAGATTCAGGGATAGACGCTTTGCCAGTCAATTGTAGCCTGTATTTAATTGTCCATAGATTCAAAAGTATAAAAGATACAGCCATTTCCGACCACAGGTCTTGAAAATAATTGTTTACACTTTAGTTTACATTGTATAAACAAATTATTTGACGTCATGAACACCCCTTGATGACGTCATCAAGTTAACCGTTTTTAAAACTTGATTTTTGACAAAGTAATAACTTTTAAAAATGATTTTACACCATTAAAAAGTAATTGTATTCAAAATCTGAGGAAATTATTATCTTAGATAATTGTTCAAGCATTCTGAAAATTTACCGGAAAGTTTTTCTAGCTTGCTCCTTCATAAAGATATTCGTCATTGAAGTTTGTGCTTTTTTGAAGAATTATCTTATAAAAACGTCAATTTTGCGATTTAGTATTCTCTGGTGTTGGGCCATGCCTTGGGTTGTGGAGCTCAGTTCTGCTTCCTATAGGTATTAATTGTGCATTAGGCTAGTTTTAAAGTTAAAAATCGAAAAGTTGCACACGTGGGGACACGCCCAAATTGATAGAAAATTGCTAAAATCACTGAAAATTGCTGTTTTCGTCATTTTCTGTCAACTTTAGAGTGCCGTTGTGATTACAGTTCTTCTTGAAATACTTTGAAACTTTGCATGCTTATCAAGTTATATATAATAGAATTACATGCAAAAATTTACGGCGATTCAATATTGGATGCGCACGCAACGTCCGCTCAAAGTTTGCACGTGCGAAAGGTGAGAATTTTGCTCATTCGTGATTTCCAACAAATTCTGCTTTGCCACGACAGTTTAATGTCATTATCAATGAATTTAATGCCAACTTGAATGAGTATTAAGTGGCATATTCAGTCAGTGATCGACCGATATGCTTACCTAAACACAAGGAAATGTTTTTAAAGGAAAAATTTCGAAATTGTTGAAACTTCCTCCTTATTAATGAAGATATCAGTTTAAATTTCGACTTTATAAAGTACCCTGACATTATAATCAAAAAGAGATGATATTTGACCAAAACCCATAATCATGGGTAGAGTGGACCGCTGCCAGTGTCTCTCTTTCCCAAACAAAAGGAAATGATATTAATTTGATTGACCGATTTGACCGTTCTCAAATGCAAAATGATACCGAGAATGAAATCGGTCGCTCGCTTTTCCCATTCATTTACAATTGTAATAGATTAAGAAGAACTACCCAAAGGCAGCTGTACTCGGCAATAAAGATTCAATAAACTTCAGCTAATTCAATAAGTAATAACTACCACCCTTACCCCGAAATACTAGGTATCGACCCGAACGCAACCCAAAGAGATTTTTACAGCATCTGATTGATGTACCTAATCAATCGAAACTTATTATAATTCGTAAGCCGTGAATGAATGGAAAAAGCGAGCGACCGATTTCATTCTCGGTATCATTTTGCATTTGAGAACGGTCAATCAAATTAATATCATTTCCTTTTGTTTGGGAAAGAGAGAGACTGGCAGCGGTCCACTCTACCCATGATTATGGGTTTTGGTCAAATTAATAATACTATTATTAATACGTAATGGGATGGAAGTGCCCTGGCTCCATAATATGAAGGACTTGTTTCTATTCTAAATGAAAAACTCGAATATTGAGTTTTTAGTTCTAGTTTAGTTTTAATCTTGTCGACTGCTGTTTATTTTACGAACTATAAGTTTATTTATGTTGTACCTAATTTATAAGGAATTAGAAAGAATTTGTTTAAAAGGTGGTGATGATGTTTATGTCATTATTCTTGATTTGATTTGCGATCGATTTTTACTCCAGGTATTTGAAAACATCAACGGTCACGCCTACCTGCGAATTCTCTGATACTCCTGAAAGTTGGCACAGACCTTTGTACTTGGGTACGGGGTACCTCAGGCTCAAATGTTTAAAAGCAATTGAAGCCGTTTTGTAACGCAGACCTTCCTAAAAGTTTGTTTTTCCTGGATAATGAGGCTTTTGCATCATTGGGCGTTTATGGGCCCTTTGTCCCCTCTCATTTTTCGATAGTTGAAAACATTAGTGACGTGAGTAATATACCTGACACCTGTTTAATGCAAAGTTTTAGGAGTATCTGAATATTTGCAGGTAGATTTGTATAAATTACTGAACCTGACCACTGATACATATTATGTACCACAATGTTATAAACCATGCGACATCACACAGCAGTCAGCACATGACGTCACCCCACGTGACATGACGTCACACCACGTTACCTCACTTACCACAATATGATTGCGCTGTCCCCCACTAGATTGGCTGGACTTCTTCTTATTGGATGGTGCGGATATAAGAGAGACCATGAGTGACATTAGGACCACATTGTCATCAGTTGCTCTATCAGTCAGTAACTTTGTTGTAATGACATTCTATGCAGAAAATCAGGCAAATTATTTGTTTATTCGAGTTTAAATTTATTTATAATTTTCATAGAGCATCTTGAATCATCATCTTTTACTTCTTCTTATACTTCTTCACCCAAGATCAACAAGCGAATCTACTTACTAAAACACATAACAGGATCCCACAAAAAATAAAATAAGAAATTACTTTATAAAACACTGAAAATTACCATCCTTGCCACTTAAAAACCACTTAAATTTCAAATTAACCTGAGTAAAATGGACGGAACTGAACGGAAAATACCACGTTATAAGCTTTGGAAAATCAGAAACACAAAAGCACATACTGCAACACAGAAATAAACTACGAGGCTACGATCTCTCGATAATTTGTTTGGTATTGACTATTGACGTTACATATTTTTCATTTCCGACCTTAAAGCTGGCTAAAGCAACCATTAAATTGACATTTCGCAAGATAACATCTTCCATCTTATATCATTAGATTGTATTTAGGATATAGTGAATATATCACTCTGTTTTTAACATTCCAGTACATTGTGCAAAACTTTGGGGTGGATTCGAAATTTGGAAGTATATGTAGGACACGTAGTAGGGGTCGATATTAGAAGAGTGAAAAGTGAAAACTACGCTATACAATTACAACTTTGGGGCAGACTTTGTCATACG